GGGGGGGAAGTGGGTTTTATTTTAAATATGAGAACATGCCTTTGGTGTACTCACTGAAGAAGTTTTCACACTACTTTACATTCTGGTCTTGTCAACAACGGTAAGCCAGTCCTCAGACTTCAGAGCTAATCACTGAACGATTCACAGACATCGTAAGTAATCTAAAACTTTTCTCTGCTGCAAAAAGTATTTGCTCCCTCAATAGCCTTGATGTCTTCTCCAAGTCTTTAACAAACATGAACAGGTACCTTCAATTTAAAGTTTTCCAAAATTTGCCGGAAGAGGAATGGATTTCCACCTTCAGCACCATTCACAAAAGCGTGCATCCAGTCCTCACAGAATCTGTTGCTTCCTGTCACACGTTCAGGAACACAAAGAAGAAATGAGAAAAAGTAAATGAGCTCAACATAAATATATACAGCTGCATTCACCTGGTTTAATCACTCTCACATAACCACCAACGACAGTATAGCTGGGCCAGGAAATAAGTCTTAAGAAAAACAATACATGTGGGAAAAAAAAGCAAACACAGCTACAGTGATTACACAAAATTCTGTTCTGAGTGTTGAATCCCTTTTCGCAACATTTGTCAAAAATACAATGGGGGGAAAAAAAAAACCCACTTTTGCAGTTTCCCTGAAGTGTACAAATCATAGTTTCACAGTCTGCAAACTAAATGCACTGTGGATTTTATTAGCATCCATTTTCAAACCAGAGTTCCAGTGTACCGGGTAAAAGAAACTACTCTGCCACCTCATAGGGAACAGATGTTACAGTTTCCAGCCAGAATCCAGACCTTCTGGGCATGAACCTATGAGCTACTGAGTATCAACTACCTCTAAGGTCCACAACTCTCAGCAGCTGATGGATACAAGTGAGTAACAGGAAGAAGTATTCACAGCTGTAATCTCACCTGCATTATGCAACTGAGGCTGAGGTCCACTGCAGTCTACAATCATTGACTTGTGCTGCTCCTCAGTCATGGCAATGCACAAGGAGGTCATTGTTCCTTCCTGAACAAGGCCTTGGAGGCTGGCAGCTGCCAGAAACCTGACACAAAAAGCTCTTGTGAACTGCTTGCTTCATTACAGTTCCTGAACAGCAAGAATAGAGGGTGTCGACCACAACAGGCAAGTTACTCACAGGCTCCTTTGTCTCAAAGGATCTTTACCTGCTGATGTCTTTTTCTGTTCTTTCATCTGCGTTTTTTACTTCCACAGGAGTATAACTCAATGCCTTAAAAAAAAAAAAAAGAAAAAAGCTAGATGCAACTTTGATATGCAACTTCCGTTGCTATATTGTGGTTACTAGCAATACATACTGTGGTACTTTAAAAATTGTTCTTTTCAGAGAAAGAGGAGAAGCTAAGGGAATACTCCATATTGTAGTCATCGTGGCTCGTTTTGCATTCAGAAGAAATACAGCAATTACACTCTGTCAGCTACTCCTTCCAAAGCCTGCTCAAACTCAGGGACCAGAATGAGCATTAACTTATTTTCTGTTTCCAGTGAATTACATGAGGCACATATGCAATACGACATCCCTTTTGGTTCAGAGGAATTATAGCAGGAACAACTTTCTCATGCTGTTTCTAATTTTCTCATTCGAATTTCAACTTGGATGCTAGTATGTAATTTAAAATGAGTTCACTATAAAAATTCGTAGAAATTGCTACGTGCTTCCTTGGCAATAAAGCAGGGAAAAAGTACTTGCCCTGAATTAAAAAAAAAAAAAAAAAGAAATAAAATGTTGTTCCTCATTTACTCCTGGCTGGGAAAGCAAATGCAAGAAACATTTACACCATGTGGGAGTCACGAAGATTCCTTCTGAACCTTTTTTAGCTATCTAGTTTGAAATACACTTACAGCATGTAACAAAAAGGCGAGTTTCTCCTGGAAGAGCTGGACTACTCTCTGAATAGGGCATATGGCATTCTCAAACCAGCTTCTCAAGTAGGGGTTAACAGAGGTCTCCAAGCTTTTTTGCTGTAACAAGTTGAAACATTAGAACTTTAACTACAAATTAGATTTCTACACAAATAGAAGCCGACTAATAATCTATTCAACCTAAGATATTTGGATGTCAAAGCCTTCTTAATCTCAAACCACAGCAAACTACAATAATGAGTAGGACATTTAAAGCCACACTTTATCAGCAATGAAGGGCTTCATTTTCTAAGAAACAGAACTGTAATATTATGGTATATAGTGAGCAAAGACCATGCAAGAGCAGACAGGATGAGAAAGAAACTTAAAATGTATAGTTTCCATTAGAAAAATTGTGTCAAGAAAACCACTAAAAATCCTTCCTTAGCATTCAGAGGTGATAAGAATCCAGGTGAACACTGATAACTTTCCTGTAGACCATTACCTTTTATTAGTCATTCATCTCTCTGAATCTAACTGCAAGTAACCTTTAAGAGACTTACGACTGGCACAAAAAAGTTGGCGCTGCCCCCCCTCCCTTTTTTTTCCCTTTTGATTTGTGTGGTTGATAGAACTTCAGACATTCACTGTCACTACAGTGAATCAAGTATCTCTCACAGTGTTTCATACTGGTACTTAAAGCACCTGTTTTTTCTCTATAGACTAAATCCATAGGATGGTATTAGTAGTTAATTTGCACAAATAGTAATTTGCACCACAAAAAAAGTTAGGCCTTACCTCCAAATCAAGGTTTATCTTCAGACTTTGAATGTATTTATCCAGCTCAAGTCTGAAAGTATCTTCTTAAGGAAAATAAGACGCGTCAGTTAAGACCTGCATTTTTCCCTTTCAGTATATGGCTGTTACTGACATTTTCAGTTACTGGAAGGTGTGCACAAACAGGCTGATTTCAAGTAGGAAACAGACAAAACAAGAACATATTTTTTACATCATCTCCCTCTCCACACAGATAAAGTTAAAGGTAAGGATATAGTTCCAGACCTTTCTCCGAGCCACCTAAGAAACAAACCACGTATTCTGGAGCACTGATGTCTGATTCCAGTGTTGCCATTTCTAGAAGATTTTCTTTTTGGAAACGACAGTAATAACAACCAACTTTATGTTCTGGTATGCTATGCAGGAAAAGAAGAATTATTGCTACAGACACATTGCAATAAGTAAGTTCAAAAGGCAGACATACATGATTTCTGTAAAGAATTTTCACCCGCTAGCACTGGTGCCTCCTATGATCATACATAGACCTCTTCGACCTTCTCTTTCTTCCTCTGTGGTGCGATCAGAGTAGTTTAAAAGGAAATAGTCATAACCACATATAGTATTTTTTAAGTATTCAAAGAGTATATTATTTACTACAGTATTTTTCTCAAAGCTACCTAGAACAAGAGGAAAGTGCCATTGCATAAAGCTGTTATTAACAGCAACAATAGACTGAGAACATGGAATCAGGATTCAACCTAAGTGCAGCAGCAGATGGCAAGATGTGCAATGCTGCCAACGGTTCTTACAGTTTCTCATTCACAAATACTTTTTAAAATTTACCTCAGCCCCATTGATGCTACATTCCCCATTCCTTCAAACAGAGCTCCTTTAGTAAGACGCTTAGCGATAAAACTGCGCAATTCAGTCTCTGCTTCAGCTGGTAAGTTAGTGTCCAGCAAGGAGAGGCTTTGAAAAACAAGACGAAATTGTTAGCAAAAAGCAAATGTTACTGTTACATTTCTCTGAACAAGTGCAGAACCACCTGGTTCTAGAAGGGGGACCACTGCGATCTCTCTCCAGCCTACAGCCAACTCGCTCTGTGACTTCTGGCCCATCAGAAATGCATTCAGTGGTCTGTCCACTAGACCAGAAGTCTGAGTTGTGGTGTCAGCTGATGCAGAACTCCTCAGCAGCTATGAACAAGTCACTATCCCTCTTTGTTCCTACGTCTCCCTAGCTGTAATACAGAGCAACAACTCCATTACAGAGCTTGTGGAAAGATGACATGTTAATTTAAAATGGTTTAATAAATTTTAATTGTCTATCATCTATGTGAAGACCTAAGTCAATACAGAAATATCAAGTGTTAGCAGCAAAGAAAACTGAGCTCAAACTCGAAGATGATAGTTTACGTTTAATACATTATGTGAGCTCTGTAGTTGTGTCCACTCCATAGGTATTCCAGAAAAAGCACCCAGGGGACTTCAGTGTGCTTTCACAAAGGTGCCTGCTGTGAAGGGCCTTGCTTGCTATTCACCTAACCGCAATACGGCAAAGACTTCAGCACGGGGTGTTCCAGGCGATCCCGCTCCTCTGCAGACTGGCTCTACCTGAAGTCCTGGCTGGAAGGCGTCTCGGCCGGCGCGCTGCTGGGGCTGCCATCCCCGACGTCTACGCCCTGCTGCCGGGGGCTGAAAACCAAGCCACTCTTACCATCGATTTTACAGCCTCGGCACGGAGAGCGGGGAAAACGGACTGCAGCGGGGAAACGTATGGGCGGGGGGG